TATAGCAGAGCCTGACGGAAGGAATGAAGTAGTCAACTGGAATATTGCAATAGTTGAATTTTGTACTCTTGGGAATTAGTTTACCCTTGAAACCAATTTTTAGGCTGTTTGTTGGGATGAACATTTCTCTGTCTGCAGGGTCTCTTCTGAGGATCCTTGTAACAGAAATGATTTCAATATCAGAGGTAGCTGAGTTGAGAAAGTCCTCTTCCTTAATTGAAGGTGGAATGTTTTTTACGATCCCAAATTTTTCTGTGAAAATTCTAGGGATGTAGGCCTTGCAAGACTTTGGACCAAAATCATTGTTTATTATAAAGTTGTTGGCATCAACCGCAGTGGCAAAACCAAGTTTGGCTTTGCCATTGCTGATGGTTTTGGTATTAATCAAACCATCCAACTTGAGATCTTTGATGTGTTCGAAAAAAATAAATCTGAGTTAAGGCGAAAAGGTTTCTCTAGGTTATTGTTGCATACTTCAATGAATACGTAGCACTCACCGGTCGTGTCGTCACTATAACGATTTGGACTAGTTGGGTCAGAGCTCTTTCCTTTTATAGGACTACTATTATTGTTACTGTTCACAGAGCTGTCTTTATTGGGAGGCCTATTCCTAGAGGGAGCGATCGGGGACTTTAAGGAGGTAATATTGACATCCTCAGTCAAGTCTTTTACAGATGAATTGTTCTTATCAGAGATGATCTTTTTGAGACCTTCGTTCTGGGCTGTGATTCTTCTTTTAAGTGAACCCTTGCTATGCGTGATTCGAACAAAATTTTCGAAATCATCATCGTTTGATAACATGTTTGAGAGCCTCACCCCCTTGAGGGGCGGGCGACTTTTAGGTTTCGTGCTAGATTAAAGGCAAGAGAAAAGGATCAACTGACTTACCGAGAAAAGAAGGGATATGGAAATCAGCCGTTTTTGGTGGAACCGACAGAGACAAAGAAGAACAAAGCCTTGTAAGTTAAAGCAGTTTTAAGAATTTGACAGGAATCGCCGCTACTTGATGTCCAATGTACAGGTGAGTTGACGAAGTGAGTCTTGTCAGGATGAGGTTGAAGACAGCAGGTGGTGCTGCGCAATTTGCGGAGAAGCACAAGAACGTCGAAGTCTTTGTTGATTTTGTTTAAATGCCGCAACTTCACTATATATATTTTCACTACTTCAAGAGTTTTCAGAAACAAAAAAATAGGAGAATTTTTTTCTTTTTTTTGTTGAAAAAAAAATTTATTTTTCAAGAATTTTCTGCAAGAAAGCGTCTTATTTCATGCAGAGTTGCCGAGCGAAAAAAGAAAACTTTATTACTACTCAATTGTCTAATTTTACTTGTTATTGTTTACCATACGTAGTTTGTTTATAAAAAACAAATGCACGTCAATTCGGCTCTCATTTTTTACGTTTCTCTCAGTTATTAATGCATTGAAATTGAAAATGGTTTTTTTAACATAAACACTTGAAACAAGACGACATTCGACAAACGGCAGCTAAAAATTTTTCCGTTTCTTCTCGGTTTTGGTGCAAAAAGAAAAATTTTGAAAAAGAAAACAAACTTTTGAAAATAAACTAAAATTAAAAAACACTACAACTAAACAACATTAGCTTGTCTCCATTAAGTATGATGTGAACCAGATCATTGAAAAAGCGGTGTCCGATATTCTCATTAATTCCGTTGTTAGGTTTCGAAGCAGAAATCCTAACAACAAGGACGATTTCATTCCCACAACGAGCATTAAAAATAATTGTAAAAGGAAAGCCCTCCCTAAAGCGATCAAATTCAATTTTTGCAATCTACCTGTGAATAATCGGTACCCATCTTAAAGCAAAGCTTTAAATGCGGTAGATATAGGTATTTGTCGAAGTTGTGTAAAGCCAAGGAGGACAGGTGTCTGAATTGCGGGAACGCTTCCATGTGTGAAAACTATGAAACGAGCTGTTTGTCCTGCGGTTCCGGT